AGTGTTCTGCTCCTCCGCCACAGAACCACTGAGCCGCCTTGCCCAAGCGGTATCTTTCGAATGAGCTAGCAGCTTTGTACCGCTCGCTAGGAATGGCCAACCCTGTATTGAGATCACGCACGGACTGCGTGAGCAGGTCCTGCGCGACCGTTGATTCAAATACAGTTAAATCAATTGCATGCTGCTCTATGAGGTTCGGGCCACTTTGGCAGGCCACTCCGTTCTCAGATGGAGCAAGAGATTCAGCCAATGTGGACACAGTATTCCAGGCATTTCGCTCTACTGCCTGGTCGTGTCGCGCGACCTTTTTGGGAATCGAGGTTGCCGTAACCGCTTAGTGTTGGAGCTTTGCTCGCAGGGCGGATCAGTGATCTCTGGATCCTGTTGCTCCATTTTTTATTTGCATTTTGACCTAATGCAGGGGCTGGATTTTATACCTTCTGCCAGATAAGTTCAACGGCCGACCAATATTTTTCAGACGCAGACCGATTAGCAGCCCAATATGGATCAGACGCGTAATAGATTAAATCTGGGTGCAGCTAGTGACTGCTGCCAGGCTTGGCGCAGACGGCGATCACGTAGCCGCCCGTTCCTCGATGGGGTCTCACGTGACTGGGAGATATACCGCTCCTGATCAGTAGCCAGAGCTCCTTATGTGTGTAACGCAAATGAGTTGGGTTGGTCATTGGTCTGCTCCGTGACTTTTACCACCTATTATTCCCCAGTGCGAGCCTTGGATCAGGAACAATAGCCCAAAAAGGTACCTTCTGCTCTTGAAGATCACGGAGGCAGAGGATACTGCAGGGATCCTAAGGCTTGCCGTTTTAGGTGAGTGCTCGTGGCTAATGTCTTCGGCTAGTTTGTACACCGTACACTGGGCGTTCTTCACGGGAGTACCGTCGTGCAACCGTACTCGGCGACTCGTCTGTGAGTGGATGTGTGTGAGGGCGGAACTGCAGTTTCAGTATATTATTATTATTAAGCTTATTAATATAATTATTATTTAAGATCAAGTTATTTTCACGAAATAACATATGCTGTGATATAAAAAAAGTAAAGTAAATTTTAAGGGCTATAAAATGGTATTTAAAAATAATGAAGGACCTTAAAAAAAATGCAATAATACCGCTTAACAAAACTGTATTTAAATTTTTTTCTTATCTCTTACAGTTCGTCAACTATACGAGTGTGAAATTCGAGTTTACCTTTGAACAAATAAGCTGTGAGACACTGTATGTATAAACAAGTTGGCGGCGCAAAAATAAACAACAAAGACCGCTTTCCAACACGGGAACATGCTTTGTACAACTGACCATGCGAAATACAGGGATATTCACGTTTAATATAACAGACTTCCAACGAGTGGCCTTGGTATTTATTGATTGTCATTTCAAGCCAACTTAACTGGGAACTGAATCCGCTTAAATTGAAATGAAAGATCATTTGGCATTATTGTGACTTCCGCTCCTTTGACTTTGTCTTTGATGATCTTTGCTTAGTTTCTTAACGGTCAACCGCGTACCATTGTACAATTTCGCATGATTCAGATTCCATAGCATGATTATGATTGAGGCAACTTTCAGATGAAAATTATGCGGCGAAGGCCCTTGCACATCAAGCGAGTTCAAAATACCGTCGGATAGTTAGTCGCTTCATCCTCGCTGGTCACGCCGTTGTCGGATTTGTATGAATTCAGTTCTCCCGCGATTTGACTTTGAATAATGGAATTCAAACTATCGACGTCCTTATTCTTTGCCTCTAGTATTGCTCGTTCACTAACCTAATTAAGATTTTTATAATTTTGGGTAATGCCGAGGAAAACTTTATTGATGAGTTCTTCATTCAAAGACGAAAAGTGTTTGACAAAAATCTCGGGATAGCAATATTTACCTTATAATCTTGAATCACTTCCTCAATCCTTTATCGATTGGTCTACTGCTACCAAATGCTCGTGCATTTATCCCAAATAAGAATTTTACATTTTTGCATCAATTTTGCTGTCCCCGAATTTTTTGTCTTTGTGCACTTTGGATTTTCAACCAAAAAAAGATTGAAAAGCAGCTTTAATGCGGAACGTGCAGTGCTACTGCCTTCTAGCAATGTGGCAGCAAAGCCAGATGATGCAACAGCCGACTCTATTTGAGATCTTGACCGAATAGTTCCCAGAATCAGCGCGATTCAAGTCTAAATGTACAGGTTGTCTTCTATTAAAATTTCGTCTATTCTGAGGTAGCGTTTCTGCAGGGCGAACCTGTGCATATTGGTTCCGTCTTAATGCATTTTGTTCGGCAAGTTCACCTTGTGCTTGAATTTTACGAATATTCATTTGCCGATGCGAAGTACGTATACGCCGTCCCATGTTTAATCTCCTAAAGACAGGCATTATTTACAACAAGAAAGGATGCTTACTTCGGCACGCCGAAGTTTGTATACCCTTGCAGATAGGATTTCGATCACTAGGAATTTATACAGTACAAATTATATATATTTATTTTAAAAAGAATTGGAAACCGAGGAAAATTTTACTGAACTAACTCAAACCCAAATTTCGTTAAGGTGATTTGTTATGATTAGTAATTTAATTTGAATTTGTTTCAAAGAATTTGTAAATATTTGTTAATGTTTTTATTATAGTTTTCTTTTTAAAGTTTGATCAGTAACTTAGATTAACTTATACAAATAAATTCTAGTTTACATCCAAACTTAAAAAAAAAGTGTAAAAATATTACATTAATTATTAGAAATTAAAGTTTATATATTTTGTTTCAAACAAGAAAGGAAGCTAACTTCGGCACGCCGAAGTTTATATACCCTTGCAGATAGAACTTCTATGACTTAGAATCCCAACAATATAAATTATATTTATTTGTGTTAAAAAACAATGAAGTAATACCTGCTTTCATTTCATTCACCTTTACATATTATATTTGCAGTTTTACAGTCACAGATGTGCATTTTTCTCCACATCTAACGATCGTTTGTATGGCACCTATATAATATAGTAGTCCGATTTTCATAAAATTTTACACAAAATTTAAGACTGATATAAAATGGTTATACCTCAAATTTGATGAAAATCTGTTGAAAACTGAAAATGTTATAATTTTTAATTGTCTTAATTTCTCGATTGTTCCTATGGGAGCTATATGATATAGTTGTCCGATTTTCATTAAATTTTATTAAAAATTGTAGAGTATAGTAAAATGAATATATCTTAAATTTTATCAAATTCTGTTGAAAACTGAAATTGTTATAATTTTTTTTGTAAAAATTATCCGATCATTCCTATGGCAGCTATATGATATAGTCGTCCGATCCGGCCCGTTTCGACATATATACGAGTGAGAGTATATAGAAGGCTAACTACAAAGTTTCATTCAGATAGCTTCAAAACTGAGAGACTAGTTTGCGTAGAAACGGACAGACGGACAGACGGACAGACGGACAGAAGGACAGACGGACAGACGGACAGACGGACAGACGGACAGACGGACATGGCTAGATCGACTCGGCTGTTGATCCTGATCAAGAATATATATACTTTATATGGTTGGAGGTGCCTCCTTCACTGCGTTGCAAACTTCTGACTGAAATTATAATACCCTGCAAGGGTATAAAAATCACTTGCAAAACGCTCACAAAGGAGCAAAGCAAAAACTAAGCAAAAATTGTGCGCTCTTGTGTATCAACGGATACTTTAAAATTTATTTCAATTAATAAAATACTGGGAAAGATAATTTATATTATATTATAAAATAAAATAAAATCTTCCCTTTTCTAGGCCACCAGCCTTTAGCAAACTTAGATCAATTAACACAAAAAGCGAACCCCCGTTAAGTAACTATCTATATAAAATAAACCTGAATAGACATCCTTGGATTAAATTATGAATGTACAAACGATGTCTATAGACATTCTCATTTATTTAAAATAACAATGAAACTGCGTTTTGATAATAGTTGATGATGTCGTCTTCTTCGAATGCATTTAATATGATCAGGATTTCGTCTATTAGACGAAAAGTATCCTTTTCGCACAAAAATATGATATCCTTCTTAATTTGACGGTTAAAAGAAAGTACGTATAGAGATTCTTTCGTTTCAAAACCGTCTATCAGCAAACGTCGTAGTTCTGATTCAGCATTCTCAGCGAACTTGTCAAGCAAACAACTGAGTTTCCGGATTGTCTACTACTTCCTACTTTGTCGTTAACGCCATCCAAACAAAAAAATTGGTTCCACCTGGAAATGCCATAGTTTAGTATTGGTGCTGGTAGGCAAATATTTGGATGCGCACTTCTTTTTAGTTTAGTATTGGTGCTGGTAGGCAAATGTTTGGATGCGCACTTTTGATCCTTGCTACATTTTAAGTTGCGTCGCTTCCAAAAAAGGTCGTAAGTTTTACCAATATTCGCCGTACAAGAAAAAATGAATGTAAGGTGTCGTGTATTTACACATAAATTGTTTTAATCTTAAATTTAATTGAATTTTAAAATTTATATATGCAAAAATCTTGTACGTTGTTTTAGTAATAATTAGAAAAATTACCAAATGGTACACAACAATATATATAATGCCCCAACAAATAATAAACATATAAAAATGTTTAATTTAATTTACAGCAATGCCTTGCTATGTTTCTTTCTCTTAAATTTCAAGCTAAATACCAGCTTTCTGCATAAATTGGATATAAATTTATTTGATTAGAAAAAAATTCAGTACAAATTTTTCATAAAATGATTTCTTAAAACTAAATTTTTAGATCTAAACTCCAATATTCCAATTGGGTCTATTTTTTTCTTCCAGCAATATACATATGTACATATATATACAGTTGTTCATTATAAATAAAATACAAACTTACTTAAATATATATAGTAGTAATATAATTTTATTCAACTCAACTACTAAATAATTTAACCATCTTTAAAAAGATATCAACAATTTGGATCCCCAGTATGATTATAAAATATATTACAGACGTTAGAACCTGTATGAAAAATATTGTTCTATTTGCTTGTATTTATATAACACGTTTTTTAAAATTCTATAAATATTGCTACTGCAACATAAGAGCGTTTAAATTACGCTGTAATATTGTATCCTTAACAGAATTGAAAACAATATTAATATTGCGCGTATTAATGGCAGTGGTAAAATGATGGTAGATCCTACTGGGGCTGCTCCTTCGGCGAACGTTCATAAACATTTGTAATATGAAGTTTTGGACATCCATAAGAGAGTGAGGATTTCCATTAAACTGTGGATAATACCAGCGAATATCAGTCTCAGGATTACCAACTTTCTGCTCCAGCAAATCGGTCTTGTTCAAAAATAATATAATTGAAATTCCCTTAAATGTGTTGTTGTTGACAATGGTATCAAATATATTCTTAGATTCATCTAAACGATTTGTTCTTCTGTAATTGAAATAAGTGCGGTTTAGCCACCTTAAACGATTATAGTTGTGTACAATTTTACCTGTCTTCCGCAAGCACCTGATCAAACTCTGAACTAGATACCAGAAATATAATCGACGTCACAGAAGTATCAAAACATCTTGTCCACTTTTGACGTTGAGTTCGCTGTCCACCAACATCAACAAATACAAATGGAATGTTCTGCAATTACAAGTTGTTTTTAGAATCAACTTTAGATTATAAGTGAGTCTATTAAGCCACCTGTATTTTCACACTAAATTCATAAACACCTTTAGTTGCTTTGCGACAGTGTAAAATATCTTTGTGCGAGGGTTCATATTCTGGGTTGGCCAGTCGTTCAATGTCGTCTAGAAAATAGCTAACAGAATCGCACTGAAAAATTACATAAATTACATAAATAATTAAATTCATAAATTAAAGTGAAAATCTTAATTTTCTGTCCACCAAAAAAGGCTTACAATTTGAAATTCACGTCGTCTCTCATACGCTCTTCTAATGCCTCGATCCTGCCATAGGCGATGTATTAATGGAGCGTACTCCATAAATCTAGGTGTCTCTATTGAATAGCATTCCATTAATTTAGCTTCTTTAGCATCCGCCTCGCGGCCGTCGCTTCCCCATGGGATGTCCAGCTTTTCCCGAGCGTCCAGCAACACTTGCATACCTTCAACGTAAAAAAGGTTAGTTAGGTAACAGATTTTAGTTTAACAAATTTCGGACTCACCCCTAATAACATTTTGGTAAATCACATGCTGATATTCACGTAGCAATTCGGGTTCAAAATTTATCCCATGAATGATACGCATTTGTTTGAGAAAAGTCGACTTTCCCGATTCTCCAGCGCCTAGGAGGAGCAGTTTAACCTATAGCCAAATGTATGTTAAGATTAAAAATATAACATTTTTTCCGTTATTATTAGTATAGTTCAATTTTCCACTCCCACTAAGCCTACAACGATTCGAATTCACTAGATATACATGTACCCTTCAGTACCAAAATTCCTTTCCTGCCCGATTCCTGGTGTCATGTTATAAAAACAAAAACAAATCTCATGGGTTTCGGTAAGAGAACTCCGAAACAAAGTAGGCAATGAAAATTCTATCTGTGTTCGGATACTGCCAAACAATTAATTGTTGTTTTTAAAGGGATTCGGAGCAGTGGTTCCGAAATTAGATTGAGATGATGAAAAATATTATTTAACAAAAAAAAAGAATCGATAGTCTCGTCAGTGAAATCGATTTTTTCACAGCTCTAATGGAAGCTGAAGTATTCACAAGTGTTTTGCAATGTAATTTATTAAATATTGTTAAAGGGTAAGTGACTTATTTGTATTCAGTTAATAAAAACTTTTAAACCTGGACTCTTTTTTAACCTAGACGATGTGAACGGAAGTCCATTATATATTCAGTATTTGTTTTCTTCTTAATTGGTGTGTATATTTATGGAAAATATTGTCCATTTGATTCTAACATACATATGTATATGAATATCATATGTATTTTACTAACAGATTGACGAGGCAACAGCCGGAAGGAAAGACACGTAACATACGTTTAGGGGAAATGCAAGAAGTTATGCTAAGAAAAATTGTTGTAATTATTGAACAAATTATAAAGTTTTTTAAATTAATAAAAAAATGTATTATAAATTGCGTCAGATATTTACTATGAGGCGGGGGTTACAGGGATCTTCTACACGTTTTCTTGGGATTCCAATCTGATTCTACTCTAAATTCCACTACGATTCTTTGGTGACTCCTTTGAGAGTCCTACCTGATTCTACTCTGAATTCCCCTACGATTACTGCCTGATTCCGTCCCAAATTCCTGGATGATTCTGTTCAGAATCCCTTCTGATTCAGGGGGGAAATCGTGCCGAAATTCACGACAAATTCCTGGCAGGATTCCTTTATGATTCCCTGAAAATTCCTCGGGTAGTCCGAATTCAGGTTTGCTAACGCCTGGATGGCTTTTATGAAAGCTCCCTAATGATTCAGGATGGAGTCCTGTCTATTCCAACCTGATTCAGACCGGAATCCTAAGGGAATGGTACTGAAGGGTTGTTATAGAACATTTTGCTGTCACCCCAAATTCCTGGCGAGAGTGGAGAAATTATTACAAGAGAGAGACTATATCAGGGAGAGAGGTAAAAAGTAAAAACCAAGTCCCGAGTACTAGCAGAAACGAAGAAGGCGTTTAATAGCCTTGCTGAGAATAATGATGTACAAGTTACCTGGGTACCGGATCACAACCAACATCCGAGGGAGCGAAAAAACAGACAAATTAGCCAGAGCAATCTCTGCAGGCCTAATCACTGACAAAAATACCGATTTCACTAAAATCGGATACAAGTTCCACGAGGAAACGCAGGGGATTACAGAAATGTTGGGCAAATTTTGATAGCGCCAATGAAACGATCGTAACCACAGCTGCTACTTGCCTTTTGACAAAGTTATTTTTGTTGTTTTTGGCAAAGTCATACCTTTGTTGGGTCGAATTGGTTTTCTTTTAAAATAAAAAGTCACACTAGTTTTAAGTTTTATTATAGTATTTAATGATATTATGCATTCAGTATATTAGATTAGTATAACGTGAATATAGTTCATAAATACACGTAGTTTTAGTTGGGTTTTGATCGCGTCGTTTTCTTTAGTTAATGGTGGTTTCAGCCGTCGCACGTTTTCTCATCGTCGTCTCTCGTCGCGAAAACATCCTCTTGACCTTTAGCGGTCTTCTCCATCTGGAGTGTGGTGGGTTAGACTGATTGAAGATGCCAGCCCCTTTCCCACAACTCGGCCTTTCTTTTAATCATTCGTTCAGAATATATTGTCATCATTGTGGCTATATAATACCACGGTAGAGTATCTCGGCCCATCAGCAGATACAATATATATTTTTTTAACGTCATATATATCTTTCTGATTCACCTTGGTAATTCGATAAACTTAGGCTTTAACTCAAGTCCACCGCCAAGTTGAGTACGCTTTTTGCAACAAGATCGCAGACTTTGTATTTTGCTGCAGGTCTTTTTCTTTGGTTATACGTGTGCTTCTTCTCGCCCTGTTTAACTAGAATTTGCTGAAAACATATAGATCAACTCTTGATGAACAATGTACATGCACGTCAGTTTTTGGGCGCATCTTTAGGCCTATAGTCGTTCAAATGGCGTCGTGTGTGTACTCCTAGAGTAAGTCATATTAATAGTCTGCTGAAAAACGCTTACAAATTTGTACCATTTGCTTGGATCGTCTTAGGATAACTTGGACAGGACAAATAATTTTAGTGTTAAGACGTTCCACTTGGCAGTTTAGTCCTAGAAGGCCAATTGTCACTGCGTGAAGTTTGATGTTTTGTTGGTACAATACTGCTTAAAATCCTCAGATCTGAAGGCAGTACCACGATCGGCTATGATTTGGTCAGGATTCCCAAAAATTGCGCTTTGTGCATCCAATCTGGCCATGACGTCTTCTGAAGATATTGTTTTTGTTGAATACAGCCAATTTGGTAACAGAATTTGGTAAATCCATCAATGACAGCAAGAATGAGCTTATACGCCTTATGAGTAGATTCGAGCGGACCTAAGAAATCGATGTGAAACGTTTGAATTTAATTTCGCGTTGAAATGCTGGTGGCACAACTATCACCTCGTCGTCGTCAACTAGCTTACAAAGGAGACCAGAATTCATAAAGAAATTAGTGTGGTTCGGCTTCTCTTTCAGGACACCAATAATAGCTTTCGTTTCTCGTGCTGGACTGAATATGTTTTAATTGGCTGTGCAAAGTTTCAACGGAGATCATCATAACAGGGTATCTGCTTACACTGCTTACTGCTCTCTTCTCCATCGTAGTGTTGCAATCGCGAACTAATTTGAAGTGCATTCCTAGGATATAAACTCTGAATTTTCGGATGAATTCAACCACTGCCAAAATCTTTCTCATAGCTTTAAAAATTTCGGTAGGCGTCTGTTGTTTTATTACTCATATAGTAGACTGAATGGATCTGACCATGATACATTTACGAGGGTAGTCTCTTCGGGAGTCAAAGCGCTTGGGGTTTGCTCGCAACACGAAAAGAAATATAATGCCTCATTTGCACCTCAAAATTGTTATAAATTACAATGTAGAAAAAATGTACTACTCGTTTTATTTTAAAAAGACATTTTTTGTCCCATACATAATCTAAGGGTTAATCAAAACATTCTATTGTTGTCCCGCTTGCATTTACTAGGTTGAGCCTTTCTCACTCGCACTCATTGCTATGATTGAAGAGGTACCAGAGGAGACTTTTGTAGTAAAACTGCTCTGAAACCATCAATCGACGCATATGTATGCAGCTTCGCTTCGTATTTTGGATAAAAAATCTTGAGCACAGGCTTTTGGGTTATCAAATTCTTACGCGTATTGAAAGCACTTATCTCTCTATCAGTAAAGACAAACTTGGCGTCGTGCTTTAAAAGATCAGTAAGAGGCTTTGCAATGATCGAAAAGAATAAACTTCCGAAAATATCCAACTAAGCCTAGGAAGCTCTGTAGTTGTTTCTAGTTTATCGGTACGGGAATTTCATCAGGCTTTGGGCTTTTCGTCGGAGATACTAATCTTTTGGTCTTCGATAGCGTGTCCTAAAAATTCAAATTTTTCCTTTTTTTTTTTAGATTTACCATCAAGCCAAATTCTTCACATCGAATAACTGTTTTAAGGTTGGATATGGCTTGTTCTTCATTTGCAACAGGAACTAAAATATCATCGACATATCGCAATACCAGAATGAGTCAAGTTTCGGAAGATTGCGTTTACGTGTCTTTGAATACACCTGGAGAATTCGTGAGTCCAAATGGAACTTTTAGGAACTAGCACTGGACATTGTGGGTAACGAAGGATGTAAACTTTCGACTATCCTTCTCAAGGGTTATATAAGAGAACCCGTTTTTGAGATCAAGCTTGCTGAATATATATGTTATTTCGACTTTAGATTCGTGACTTTTTTTATTTTTTATTTTTACTCCGTCGCGATTTATTTGAATTTCGGCATTATAACAAAATTCTGCAACAAACACAACTTGTGCGTCTAAAAAATCAGATGAAACTATCAAAAAGTTTTCTTGAAACATGTGACCGTCAACATCAAACTCATCTTTAAATGAACCGAATGGTTCCACCCTGTTTTGATTTCCAAACCCAACAAGAACAATGTTTACAGCAGTTAGCTTTGGCTTATTTAAGTTTACCCATGTTGCTCATGACGTTGTATTACTTATACTTATACGTATACTTTTTTTGCTTCATAGAAATTTCATTGCCCATCGAAAATTTCTCTTCGGTAACTTTACGCGTATTGCTCGATTTCGTCAACTGTGCAATTTTTCGAAATATGACCATAATTGATACAATTAAAACACTTTCGAGCGTTGCTGCTATTAGCGCAAAATAAAAGCAATTCAGTTTCATTGGAACGGAAACGTCTTAAATATTTAAACTTTTTGTCCTGATTTTTAGGTTTTCCGTACTTTCACCGAATTTTCTCGTAACTTTTTGACTTTGCTTTGAGATGTTTCATGTGTTTTGCATTGTACAGAATAGATTTATTGACGCTCAAATCGTTTATACCATCCTATTCCTGTACGCCCTTATTGTTTTTAATTTTTCCCTCAGACAACTTTTTATGTAAATTTCAACATTTCCCAGGATTTAATACCGCGCTCACTCATAATAAACATTTTGGCAAGGTATTTGAGAGACCGTTTCGCAAAAATTAATTTTTGGAGATCACCCCAATACATAATTGAAGCCACCGAAAAAAAATCTGGTACCTCTCCAATCATAGTAATGAGTGCGAGTGAGAGGGGCTCAACCTAGTAAGTGCGAGCAAGACAACAATAGAATGTATTGATTAACCCTTAGATGATGTATGGGGCTTTAAGTTTTCTCTTGTAATAAAACGAGTAGAACATTTTGTTTTTATAATTTAATTTTTAACAATTTTGAGCTGAGGCGTTGTTTTTGTTTTTGCGTGGCGAGTCTTTTGTTTAAATGCTTAATCCCAAAGTATTTTATTGTCTTAAACAACATTTTTGATATTTTTTTTTTCAAATTTTATTGTTAAAAAACCATTTAACATCTTGAAAAATTGACATAAATTGAAATATTTTAAAATTTCAATTTGAGTATGCAGATTTGTTAACCCATTAAAAACTAGCACTGAACAGTTTTCGGAATCGAAATTAATGTATTTTTGTCTAAGTTGTGAGTTTTTAAAACTGTTGGTTGTAGTAAAATCGTCATACAAAAACGACCCAAAGAATGCGAATATTTATACCCTTGCAGGGTATAAATGCAGTGAAGGAGTCGTTTCCGACCCTATAAGTCATATATATTATTGATCAGCAAGAAAAAGGGAATCTTTCTGAGCATATAGGAGAGACAAAAATTTTTGACTATGTAGATTTATTAAATTACTAGCTGTACCCTGCCACGTTTCTCTGTGGCATATTGTGGTTGCACGCATAAGAAATAAGTCAAACAAAAATAAATAATTTTCAAATTCATTTAATTCTGTAATACTTGTGGGTATGCAATATTCTTCGTTTCTCCATTCTCCGCGTAAATATAAAGACTATCTGGTTTTCCGACATGGGAACACGCAACATATAATTGTCCGTGTGAAAAACAATCTGCATCCAAATATAGACCACACAACTCCAGAGATTGACCTTGAGCTTTATTAATGGTCATTGCGAACGCCAAACGAATGGGAAACTGCAATCTCTTGAACTGGAACGGTGTATCAGTCGAGATCAGAGGAATCCTAGGAATAAGGACATCTTCACCTTTGAAAGGACCAGTTATGTTCGTGGCTTCTACTACGTTGTTCATCAATTTCTTGACTGCGAGTCGCGTACCGTTGCAGAGTTTCGGCTGATTTATATTCCGGAGCATGATAATCAGCACACCTATTTTTAATTTCAATATGTGTGGTGGCATTCCAGGCAGATCAAGTGAGTTTAGAAATTCCGTAGGGTAATTAACTGTTTCCTCTGCCTCCACAACGGTATCTATCGACTTATATGTAATTTCGTCAGTTTCTATGCTGGATTAGATTACATGATTGAGCTGGTAGACATCTTTGTTCTTGACAGCGAGAATCGCACGTCCACTGAGCCAATCGTGATTTCTATAATTTATTCGGATATCGGGGAACACTTTTTGGATAAGTCCTTCCTTCGATGTAACTAAATTACAGAAATTCTCAGGCAATACTATTTTTCTCGACGTCTCATTGACTGGCAGCTTTCCGTTCCCTATGTCCAGTAACTGTCGTGAGAATAAGTTGGCTGAGTCATCGTTCTGTAACTGGACACGCATATTCGTCTTCAACTGTAATATTCGTACATTTTGCCACAATATAGAATATTTCAGGCAAGCACTTATCTCGTCAGCTGGTG